TCAGAGCGGTCGGGAACCCCATTTCTGAATGATTTTGTGGATCCCAACATGTGCTTTGTCCCTAATGGTTATCCTTCTACTTTCTACTATGGAGGTAAGGGCTAACTTTTGAACTTCGCCTTTAAGATTCATTACTATTGAGTTTTTCTGTTGTATTAGAATTCTGGTTGGCTTATTTGGTGCTAAATAGTCTATATCATCATGATGAATTATTTGTGTAGGGTACGAGGGGAATGTGAACGAGTGGGAGGACTACAGATTTGTAGGTCAAGATGGAGTTGAGATGACATCTGTAAGTTATCGTTCTTCCAAAATGATTTGATGTGTCTGAGATGGTTTTAGCCCAGTGTATTTTCGGTTCTGACGAATTCTTATTTTTTTCTCATGGTATATTATCAGGGAGTGTATGGGGATAATGGGTCTCTTATGTATCACCATGGTTATGGATATGCACCCTATGCGCCATATTCACCAGCAACTTCACCGGTTCCAACCATGGGAACTGATGGTCAGCTATATGGACCTCAGCACTACCAGTATCCGCACTATTTCCAGCCACTTACTCCAACCAGTGGTCCATACTCCCCCAATCCTGTTGCTCCACCTCCATCTGATGTTTCAACCTCTGCGGCTCCGGACCAGAAGACTTTGCCTGTAGAAACAGCTAATGGGAAATCCAATACTGTTGCAAATGGAGGAGTTAAGGGGAGTAATGGTGCTGCTCCTTTTAAACCATCATATCAAACCTCTTCCTTTAACTCAAATAATACATATGGAAGGGGTTCGTTGCCTGGGCGTATTCCTGCATCTGGCTATCAAGATCCAAGATTTAGCTTTGATGGAATGCGGTCTCCTATCCCATGGTTGGATGGCTCAATGACTCCAGATTCGCAGCATAGGCCAGTTAATAGCACAACATACGGTACTTCAATATCAAATGGCAACAACGTTCCTTCTTCAAGAAATCAAAATTACCGTCCAAATTCTCATTACATGGTATGCTTGATTTACTTTTACCTGCTTTTTTTTTTTTTTTTTTTTTGTTTGTGTACCCATGTATCAGAAAAAGAAATTGGTAGGGGCAAAATTAAAACTTAGTGTGAACAAACATTATGGGAAAAATTTGTGGAGGATTACAACTCTGAATTCTTTTGTCATTTAAATTTTATTAGATGAAATTGATAATTATGAGTATGACATTATGCGGTTGATTGTTTGCTTTGTTACTCAAGTATGTGTGTGTATATAATTTTTCAAATTTTTGCAGTATTATCATAAGGAGGTAATTGTTTTTGTTTGCCAAGTGAAAGATTTCTTTTCTTTGACTTACAGGGTTTGCACCAACCTCGACCAATGGGTACTGCACAGGGTTTTATGAATGTGAATAGGATGTATCCAAACAAGTTATATGGTCAGTATGGTAACACATTTAGATCTGGAATGGGCTTTGGTTCCAATGGTTATGATTTACGAACAAATGGGCGTGGTGGATGGTTGGCTGTTGATGGCAAGTATAAAACCAGGGGACGTGGTTACTTTGGTTATGGTAATGAGAACATGGATGGTTTGAATGAGCTTAACAGAGGACCAAGAGCCAAGGGTTCTAAGAACCAGAAGGGCTCAGTGCCTCTTGCATTAGCAGTCAAAGAGCAGAATGTGCAGACAAATGGAACTACTGATGAAGAGAAGGCAACTACCGCGATTCCAGACAGAGAACAATACAATAAAGCAGATTTCCCAGAGGATTATACCAATGCTAAATTCTTTGTGATTAAGTCATACAGTGAGGATGATGTCCACAAGAGCATCAAGTATAATGTCTGGGCTAGCACCCCAAATGGAAACAAGAAGCTTGATGCCGCATACCAGGAGGCTCAGCAAAAGTCTGGTGGCTGCCCTGTGTTTCTTTTCTTCTCGGTGAGAATCTGGTGAAACTAATCTATAAATTATTTGATGTTACAATTTCCTTTGTACTCACTCTAATTTTTGAAATTTTGACAGGTCAATACAAGTGGGCAATTTGTTGGCCTTGCGGAGATGGCAGGACCTGTTGATTTTAACAAGAATGTGGAGTATTGGCAACAAGATAAATGGACTGGCTGTTTCCCAGTGACATGGCATGTTGTGAAGGATGTGCCCAATAGTTTGTTGAAACACATTACTCTTGAGAACAATGAGAACAAGCCGGTCACTAACAGCAGGGACACCCAAGAGGTAGTTATGGATATACATGTAACTTATAGTAGCAAAAAAAATTGAACACTTATTTTTATCTTCGTCTTGTTTCTTTTCTTCTCTTTTCCAATTGCAAGCTTAAATGGGGTTGTGCAGGTCAAGTTAGAACAGGGACTTAAAATGATCAAAATATTCAAGGAACATTCTAGTAAAACTTGTATTTTGGACGACTTTGGGTTTTATGAAGCTCGGCAGAAGACCATTCAAGAAAAGAAGGCTAAACAACAGCAGTTTCAGAAACAGGCATGATATACCCTTTCCCAGAATACCAATTTGATTTTCAGTTTTCCTGATAACCTTCTACTTAGAGTTTTTGGTGACTTTGTTTTCATCGAGGCTGATTTTTTATTGCATTTTCTTGATCTTTGCAATGCACAGGTGTGGGAGGGAAAACCCACAGAGGAAAAGAAAGAAGCTTCAAATGGTGATCTGAAGTCACAGAAATCATTGGAGGGTGCCACAGATTTGAGCAAAGAACCTACTTCCACTGCTCAGGCTAACGGTGATGTGAAGATCACTGAGAATGGATCAGTTGCAAAAACTGGAGATGCCCAAAAGGGTGGTAAACCAGTTGTCACAGAGAAGGTGGTTTTGGCAAATGGAGTTGCAAATGGTTGTTAGCCACGGCTGGTGCTGGAAGGCGGTCTGGTCAACTGGAGCCTTCTTGGGAGGAGTTCCGACAGAAGTTTTGAGGCATAGTACAGAATCCAACTTCTGAACAGTTCTCTGTATAACACAGGGCCGCCATTTCGGATCTATCCTGCTGCTTTGAGAGTCAATATTTCATTGAGGGATGGAAGTTTACTTTGGAGTTTTTAAAGAATTGGTGTGGCAGGCTAGGCTTCTCATAATCCAAGTAGTATGCCCCATCTTTTAATGGTGGGCTTTTTTTTTTTTTTTAATTTTTTTTCTTTTCTAAATAGTGGGTTCTCTTCTAACAAGTTTTTATCCGCTAGGGTTTTGGGTTTAGTGATGCTATTTTAGTGGCTTTTTTATATGTTTCCATTATGTTTTTTGTTTTAATTTTCTGTTTGGTAATTTCCTGTCTTGCAAGTCTAGATCTGGAGCAGCTTCGCCTTTTTTGTGGTTTTTGTGAGAGCTAGAGGCAAGGTGGGAAAAATATTGCAATGTAATAGAGAGCTTTTTCATTAAGCAAAGAAATAGAGTATCTTCTCATCATAGCTGTTTTTGTTTATCATTTCTTTGTAAGTTTCAGTGTTATATTATAATCTTCAATTGCCTACATTTTTGTTTCATCCCGAAAAGCTTAAAATTATAGTATTATTCTGAAGGGACATCCATGGATGGTGCCACATTCCCAATAAGCTCCCAATCTACATACAGTTTTTTATAGATCCTACTATTATTGTAGATAGGATTAGGAGACTCCATTAATTCCCTTTATGGTTGGTGGGGAAAATAGATAATCCAGTATACTTACCTATTCTCATTCCTCCCAATACCCTCCAAAAGGGAATAGAAAGAGAGAATAGTAGAGTAGGTAGTTACCTACTTGTCATGTCTCTTTTCTTTGATGCTCAATCCAAAGTTCCAAACAAGGTGAAAAGCTAATAACCTTTTATTGATTATTAATATTATAGGTGAAATGACAGAAGCCATAAAAATGATTGAGTAAACAACCCACCCAAGGTTTGGCGAATCTTCAAGTTCCCACCCATAATTTCATAAATTACAGATTTCCACTCTTAAATTAATAGAAAATTATTTAGTCTAATAGTTAAAACCCAAAATAGTCCTTTCAAAGATGAAAATTTTAAAATAACCCTTTAATTTTCAAATTGACCCCATTGAAAATTTTAAAAATAACCCTTGACTTCTCAAATTCACCCTTCTAGCGATATCAATCCATTCTGGCCTATTCTTGGCGCAGTCGATCCCTCCCGGCACCACCCTTACAATCCTCTCAACCCCCACATCAAAACCCCTAACCTCCCCTTCTGATTGAACCCCGCAATCGTCGACCGCCACTCCTAGTTTCAATTGGCATTTCATCCAAATTCTGGTAGGTCTCGACATCAAAAACCACCCCCAACACCACCAATAGCATCACTAGCTTCCCCCATCAAAACCTCCAACATCGCTGACCACAATTGCCCGCTGATCATCATCATCTCTCCCTTAGGTTTTCGCGTTTTGTCGCACCTTTCCAGCTAAGTTCTGACACCTCGCCAAGGTGCAATCGGGTGGAAAAGTTAGAGGTTTTGGTTAGAAGGATAAGGGGATGCTGATGGTGGTGTTGGGAGGTCCAATGGTGTTGGAATCAGGTCAGATTTTTGGCTTAGTCGAGATCTGCTCTAGGGTTTATTTGAGAGAAATTTGAGATGGTGAGGTTATTTTGAGAGAAAAGTATCGGTGTTAATTTAAGTGTAGGAATCCGTAATTTATGAAACCATGAGTGGAAACTTAGGTGAGAAAAGGCCGTTTACTCAAAATCATTCAAAAAACTTAAGAAGGAATTCTGGGCAATCCAATGTCTTAATAGAGTGAGACACTCTCCTGTTACATAAATAAGAACTTCCCCAGATAATCTATGCTTATTTTCAACTTCCCTTTATGATTTATCAAAATACATAGTTGTTTTAAATGTCAAAATGCTTGAATAGATCTTGCCATATTAAAGTATCAAACGTTAATCTTATAATAACTTGTATACATTTGCAAGATTTTATTTCATTATCGAAGTAGCCTTACCATCCATGATTAAGGGGTAATGTTACTGGTACGTTAGGTGGCCCAGTAGTACATCCTTTTCCTTTATTGGTCCAAAAAATGTTTTGGGATTAGCATGACACGTGTAACAGAAGACAGCTCCAGCTCAAACTCTGGAACTCTCAAAGAGTCGAAGTACAAAAACATGACACCAAGGGATAGTTGTAAACCATCCAATTTACGGACTAGAAAGTTGGGATTTTGGCAGCAATGGCTACTGCAACTACTTTCATTACTCGTGGAAGAAGAGTGGTTTCTTCTATTTCAAGACGCCGCTTTTCTTCTTCGTGTCAGAACGCAATTCAACAACAACAAGAAGAAAAATCACAACCTGGAGGTGGCAAGTCCCTGAATTTATACTCTGCCATCAATCAGGCTCTTCACATCGCCTTGGAAACCGATTCCCGGTTTGTTTTCAACAATACCCAGTTGGCCTTTTTTCTTTATATGCTTTGTAATTTTGATTCATATGAATATGTGCAGGTTAAAGATGATCCTTGTTTCCAAAAGGGTTGTAAAGAGACTAAAATTTTGATATATAGTTCACATAATAAACGTAAATTTTGATGTTTTTATCATATTTTGAGTGACGCTTTTGATATGATTTGTAGTTTTGAATCCTTTGATGATTACCTTCATTTGGCTCTACATTATCAAATCATTAACATCTTTTGACTGCTTGGCTTAAATGTTTTATCAGCGGTTCCGATTTCGATGAGCTTTCGTTAATTTTGCAGCTTAGTTTCCCTTATAAGTGATGATGTTTATAAGGTTGTTGTCTTTATTGATGTTTCTTTTGTAAACTTTTTGAGTTGCTTAAACATTTGGAAGTGACTGAATTCTACCCAAAAATTATATTTGGAGACTCTGACTATCCTCTTCTAGGATTTACGAATAGCAGGGAAGCTAGATGCTGAAGCAACAATTCTGATGCACTTTTATTTATTTTTCGGTTGCTAGGCTAACCCAAAATTAAGCTTAGTGTTGCCAAATTACCCTGGGGCGTGTTGCCGAATTATCACCAGCTTACTGAACCAAAGAATGAGACCTGAGCTTTAGCTTCTTATTCAAGTTAATGATGTTGTTCCTTACTACATTTTGTCTGTGGAAGCATAGGAATGCAATATATGTTTGACGAGAAAATGAAACAAGAGTCAAGAAATTTAGTTTTTTTGTTTGTTCCAAAAGTTCATTTTGCTGTTATTAGTTTCTAATTTTACAATGTCTTACGCTTTGGCTGTTGTTCTTCTGCTCATACATGGTAGATTCTTTTTGAAGAGTAATTTAATTTAATTTAATTTTATAAGATTTTTGTATGCTAAAGTGTCAATTCTGTTTGTTTAGCTTGCACCATGATTTTCATGGAAACACCCTTTACCTTGAAATATTTTCTGGCTGTGAAATGGTCTCTTTTGCAATTATTGGCATCTCTTTTCACCAACTTAAGTTTAGTCACATATAGTGAGTGTGCTTATGGATAATTTCTTCACAGTGCTTATGTATTTGGAGAAGATGTGAGCTTTGGTGGGGTCTTCCGTTGCACAACAGGATTAGCGGATCGATTCGGTAAAAGTAGGGTTTTCAATACCCCTCTTTGTGAACAGGTATTCCAGTGTCACGGTCTATGCTCTGTAACAGTCACTTCTAGTGTCAAAAACTGCTTTGTTACATTACTATGCCGGCATATTGTCCCAAGCGGTCTCATAATCTTTCTTCACTTTAATATTACAGTGCATGCAGACATGTATCTTGATGTTTTCCATTTAGGCTTTGATTCCATGTCTTTGTTTTTTTACACTCTATATGGGTTACTATTTGTGTCTTTTGAGCTATGTATACCTAGAAGGCTAGAAAGTTTCATATTAAATTTTGTTTTATGCAGGGAATTGTTGGATTTGGCATCGGTCTGGCAGCCATGGTATGCTTAAGAGTTTGTTTATAGATTGTACTAGCTTTGAAATCATCCTCACTAGAGGTTCTTTTCTTTCTTTATAATTATTTTTTAAAATCTCTTATCTGATTCACATAAGTCTTGCTTTCATTTCATGCATAGGGGAATCGAGCCATTGCAGAAATTCAATTTGCAGATTATATTTTTCCTGCTTTTGACCAGGTAAAACTTTTATACCAGATACTAAGTCCTCATGTTGCTTCATAACATTTATTGACATAAATTTTCTTGGTAGATCGTCAATGAAGCTGCAAAATTCAGATATAGAAGTGGGAATCAATTTAATTGTGGAGGTAGTGCTTGTTGATACTATTCATTGAAGTTTTCTTATGATTCTCTTCTTTTTGGTTTTTCTTTACCCCCATCCCCCCATCTTTTTGAGCTTGATGAGATTTCGTGTGATTCTGCAGGATTAACAATAAGAGCACCTTATGGAGCTGTGGGCCATGGTGGACATTATCACTCACAATCCCCTGAAGCTTTCTTTTGTCATGTTCCTGGTATCAAAGTAAGTTTCTTTCTCCGTGAGTTGGTTTGGTTTTTCATCTTTTTACTTTTATTCCTTACATATTTATTTTTTATATCATCCCTTTCTCCCCAAGGGGCTGTGCCCCTCAATTTAAGTGCTGGGGATTTGAGGAGTTGGAAGAAACTATTTGGTTTCACTCATAGTAACCATTTTGCTTCATAGAGTAAGATGGTGGTAGCCACTCTCTTAGTTTTTGATTTTTTCGCAAAAATCTACCCGTTATTATTATTGTTTTTATATAATTCTGTTGATATTTCCCAACACTGGTTAAAGTATCTCGTGTTCAACTCATTTTACTGTTGAACAGGATGTTATTGAATATTTTTTTCCCTTTCTATTGGTTTGTGGAACCCGTTGATATGGATCTTAACTTCTTGTTTAAATTAAGTACCTTGTTTCCTTCATTTTTAAAAATGAATATATAGGTGGTCATCCCTCGAAGCCCACGACAAGCAAAAGGATTGTTATTGTCATGTATTCGTGATCCAAATCCTGTGGTCTTTTTCGAGCCAAAGGTAATACCCTCATTCACCTCAATTTGAATCATATATATTCAATTTATGTATTGACGATATCTGTGATAAAATATATCTGTGTTTTGTACCTTCAGTGGCTTTACCGTTTGTCAGTAGAAGAGGTTCCAGAGGATGATTATATGTTGCCTTTATCTGAGGCAGAGGTATGCCACCGTGTATTTTATCTTCAACAGAGAACTCTAAAACAAAGAAAATAAAAATTGTAAATGTCCAGGTGATCCGAGAAGGCAGCAACATTACACTTGTTGGGTGGGGAGCTCAACTATCTATCATGGAACAAGCCTGCATTGATGCCGAAAAGGTTAAGTGATTCTTGTCACTCCAATTTTTTTTTTTTAAATGCGAGGTTAAATTCTTTTTGAGCTTGAAACATTCCGATATTTGTCAGAGTCTGACTCTTGTGGCTTTGCAGGATGGAATTTCTTGTGAACTGATAGACCTGAAAACTCTTATACCGTGGGATAAGGAGACAGTAGAGGTCTCTGTCAAAAAAACTGGAAGACTTCTTGTAAGGATAGAGCCCTTTGGAAAATGTGCTTACTGATAACTGGTTAATGCAAGAAGAGATGATGATGTTGTTGCCTTGTGTGCAGATAAGTCATGAAGCACCAGTGACTGGAGGTTTTGGTGCCGAAATCGCTGCTTCAATCCTTGATCGTTGCTTCTTAAGAGTAATCACTTCCTGCAGACTTCTTCTGTGCTTGTTCTTATCTATGAAAAAATCTTCCCTAGAACAGATGTTGGTACAACCATCCAATCATGGAGTACCACATCAGCGAGAGTGAGATACACTTGTCCTATGATTGGATGGTGGTATCAACATCCATTGTAGGGAAGATTTTTACCTTGTCTAGATGTTCAGTCACTCAAACGTGTGTTTGATGTTATTGGTGCTTAATTTTTATGACAATTAGTAACTCAAAAGATGAAATGGTTTGCAGTTAGAAGCTCCTGTTGCTAGAGTTTGTGGTCTAGACACCCCATTCCCTCTTGTTTTTGAGCCCTTCTACATGCCTACCAAGAACAAAGTGAGTTCTCTTCTCTTACTCAGCATTGCCGTGATAATAATTTTTTAGGGAGGTAAAAATGATTTTTGCTGCTGTGTTTTGATGCAGATACTGGATGCAATCAAATCAACTGTAAATTACTAAACCAACTCTGCCTCTTTCTGGTATCAATTAACACCATATACATGAGCAGGGAGAGAAGGGCTCATTTTAAACTTAATTGAGATTCCCCTCTCAATAAAACAATTAGCTCAATGTATTAAATATATTTATTTAATAAAGCAAGGGCAGGTGAGTGAGATGAAGCAAAGCACAAGCTATTCATAGCATCAGAATTGAGACATGACAAGCCCGAGCGTACAAAGTAGAAAGAAAGATAGAAGAATACAAAGCATGATGGATGAATGGAGAAGAAAATAATCTTGAAAATGTTTAACACAATAATAAAACAAGAATTGGTTTCTTATCATCAACATAATATATTACAAAAGTTGAAGATTGCAGGGCTTTTATGGTTATGTAAATTCAAACAAATTACTAACACAAGCTTTTAGTGTGCAACTTTTCATTAACGATTGTTGTTTAATAAATGACCAAGTCATTTATATACTTTTAAGTGTGACAAAATGGCTTTATTGAAAATGGATGATCAACCCATTTAGTTAGGGGAATACTCAAGATATGACTTCTTTGAGTCGAGCTTATCTAGGCAGAGTTTTAATATTAATTAAGTTGCTGGAAAAATTGACAGCCAATGTTAGTCTTGGGTAGATACTATCAATGGTTCTTCTATCTCCACATGGGCCCTCAATGCCTAATGACATAATTTCTCAACACAGGCCTAGCACATTGGACTTCTTCTGCAGGGCCACCATGCTTAATGCTCAGTTTCTTTTGGAGTATACAGAGCTCCTCACCTCAGTGAACCGATTTTGTGAGTTTCCTTTCTATTCCGTCTTACTTCAATGTCCCAATTTCACCAAACCGACGCCGACACAGAGCCATCAGGGTTAAAGGGCTTATAATATTCTTTTTAAATGTTCTCCCACTTTCTTATCTGGAGTATTGTATGTCCCTATGTCCTCCATTGGAGACTTGTTATTCTTAAATTATTTATTTAATTTACATCCCTACTCTCAAAGGCTATTCGGCCAGCCTCAAACTACTCATCAAATCAATCCAATGGATCTAATGTTTAAAAAAAAATTGAGGAAACTGAAGAAAAAAAAAACGTTTCTTTGAAACTTGGACGGGTTTTGTTTCCGAATGTTTTCATTAAAAAAAGTATTCTTGCTACAAAGAACAACAAAAGCAGAGGAAAGAGAGGCCTCAGAGATCTTGGTGGAATAAAATCATCAGATGAAGGATGAAGAAATACACCCCCCATCAAGAGTAGCAAATATTTTTCTAACATCACCGGCCAATTTAATATCTAAACCAAAAATTAAAAAAAAAGGAAAGATTTTTAATGAATTGAAGGTGTCAGAAGTAGCTGGTTATCATGATCATGGATAAATCAGTGGGAATCCGTCTGATTTCTTTCATCACCCACCTTTAAAAACAAAACTTTTTATATTAAAACCAGAATCAAAATTGAACCCTTAACCCTAAATCATAACAAAAAAAAAAAATTGAAACTTTATAATAAAAGATGTATATGTATCTACCTTGTCACCGTAAAATCTTAAATAAGAACAACGGAGCTAAAGGTAGAGTCTACATACACGAGTTAGAGTATGTATACAGGACTTCACTATAGCCTAAGGATAGATTCTTTGATGCATTTAACTTGCATCAAACAATTGCAATGTTAGGCCATAATCATATGCCTAACCATTGAGACAAAAAACCAGAAGGAGCAGAAGCAGTCTGGCTGCTCTGCAGTGGAGAAGCTATAAGTTGAAGTCTAAGTCGATGGGGGAAAGTGGGTGGTTTGGTGGTATATATAGAGAATGAATCAGAAACCCTAGAAAAATCTAAGGCCCGGGAACATCTTGCGCTGGCCCAAATGTTAACCAAGTTCCCCATTTGTAATTATTATTTTTAACTAAAAAATATATATTGTGGTTTATTTCATTTATCTTTGTGAAATTGCTTAATAAATCACATCCTTTGAAAAAAAAAAAAAAAAATTAAATACCCCTATCAGGACCCTTTTTTTTACTCTTTTATTAGAGGGTTTTTATTATGTTTTTAATACTTTTTGATAATTATGAAGGTATATAATACTTTTCAATAATAGGTGATGCATTTCGTGTGAACACATGATGCATTTCGTATTGAACACGCTCACAATAGGTAAATGAAATAAACCTAAAATATTTTATATTAAGTTTCATGTTTTAATGTTACAAGTATAAGTTTGAGTTTTCACAATTGTTAATAGGAGTGGTCACTGGAGTTTATATCCAGTCGGTAGTTCTAAGGTCTCAAAAGAATAGTCGAAGTGCGTGCCAACTGCAACTGATCCGAATACCCAAATCATAATATATATATGTTACAAGTATAGTATTGAATAATAATTAAAAAAAAAAAAAAAAAAAAAAGTGTTCATCAAAGCGACTCTTTGCAAAACCAAACCTTGAAAAGTTATGAAATGAAATTTGCAAAAGTAATGAAATGGAGTAATACTCTAAATTTATATATTACCATGTCATTTATGGCACCAACTCATTATTCAAATATCAAATATTAGTTTCACATAAGCTGATGCGCTGTCTAGATAAAAGAATTTGAGGTATTACTATAAACGTAGTATTAGTTAATGAAATTATCTATGAGGGTAGCAAATGCAGTTTTGAAAGGTAAGACTACAATTTCTCCATTTTGTTTAGCAAAATAGTTTCATATAAGAAAACCTAAGCAACATTCATGTTCCTGTCTCAAATATAGCAGTCAAGTAACAAGAAGAATATAGAACAAATATTCATCATTAACATTATACAAAAACATTGGATTTAGAACTACAACATAATCATATACATAGAATCTGCTCTTTTTGGCTCTTCTCAAGCACTGTTATTCACCAGAAACTCATCTGCTGCTAGTAAGACATTGTCAATTTCTCCCACCAAATTTACATATAATCTTAATGCTTTTAGTGGGAACTACTCTACAACCCAGATAGATTAAGCTCTTGTAAGGGTTGCAAAATCATAAAAGTGAGGTTCTTCAGCCCTTTTTGGTTGTGGGATATCCTAACAATCTGAGCAGAGAACGGTCAAAAACAGCATCACTTCATACTTCAACTGGCACTTCCTCCTTAACCTCTGAGGCCTCAGTTGTGCCGGTTCCTTCAAGATCTTTCAGAAAGGTCCTAAGACATCCATTGATTATGCGTGGTGCTGCTCCATCACAGAACCGTTTTGCAAGATCAACAGCCTTCAAGAAGAGACATTATGTCAAAGAGAAGCAAAGATTGGACAACGAAGGAATGGAGAAAACAGGAGCAAGGAAACTTACTTCATTAATCACAATTTGGTGCCGCGTTCCTAGAACTGCTATATCGGACATGGCCAAGTGGAGAATGCTAAGCTCCAAAATTCTTCCGGATGGCTGATCCTGAAGTATATCAATAATGAAGTTGTGAAAATATAATGAGANGTTCCTTCAAGATCTTTCAGAAAGGTCCTAAGACATCCATTGATTATGCGTGGTGCTGCTCCATCACAGAACCGTTTTGCAAGATCAACAGCCTTCAAGAAGAGACATTATGTCAAAGAGAAGCAAAGATTGGACAATGAAGGAATGGAGAAAACAGGAGCAAGGAAACTTACTTCATTAATCACAATTTGGTGCCGCGTTCCTAGAACTGCTATTTCGGACATGGCCAAGTGGAGAATGCTAAGCTCCAAAATTCTTCCGGATGGCTGATCCTGAAGTATATCAATAATGAAGTTGTGAAAATGTAATGAGACATAGGAGACTTAAGATGAAACAAGAGAGTTGATGGCTCCAAACTTAAAAGAAACAATTTACTTTGGGGTCCTCTTTTGAAGACAGAGCATACCATTCATCAGATGTATGCAAAAACAGCAACATAATTATGATATCATAGGTGGGAGATACTAAATATTTGATGGTAATTGATGGCTAAAGATGTCTCTAATAGCCATCTTCCCTTAATAGTTAAAAACTTAAGGTGAAATAGAAGAGTTGAAAGAGAGACCGAACAAGATTAAACTGGCTCAAAGGATGAACAAACAAAATTAAGCTGGTAAAAGTTAAGAAAGCATAAACCTGGATTTGATACATGATTAGCAGTTCAAATTTTTTACAAGATAATAACTACCACCGTCCTAAAATAAAAGCACATGCAAAGGTTGAAATTAGGTAAGGCATTCCAGACCTTCCAATTTGGTGGGGCAACTTTGTCAATAACACGGACATGACTATCCCACTTATCCATAACTGCAACCAAAAGCTTCCTTGTGAAACTGCAATAAAGCAAAAAGAAATTATATACAGCTCAATATCCAGTCTCTTCCTCTCACAAAGGTGGACAGGAAGCTAGAACTTGAGACTCATAGTTCTAGTTCATATACTGAAAAATAGTTCTAGCTCATATACTGAAAATCCAGTAACTTGTATCATTAGATGGTTTACCGCAAAAGGAGTTTGCTGTAGACCAACTTTGGAGGAGCTGAAAGCACTTCTTCTTCTTCGATATAGAAATACAACATGGATTCAGGCTTATAGAAGAGAGTAGTGTAATAAAAACAAATAGAACTTAATTTGTGCATATAAAATTCAATATAAATGATTGGCAATGCAAATAATTAAAAAATAAAATAAACACAACATGCTTTTTTCTATTTTGGTCTATGTGAGTAGTCTAACAATTATAGCTAGAGCAGCTCGCAGAGCATTAACATTAAGCCACTAAACTTGTCTTACAAATTATGATTTCAAGAAGATTTTTTTTTTTCAAATTTGTTGCACCTTCTAACAAACACCAGCATACCTATTTGCCATAACAAAAAGCATTAGCATGTTTCAGAATTTTTTTTCAAATGCTTTATTACCAATTGCAGACTCCCTCTCATCATTGTGCAGAAGCTCATCTGCTTCTTCAACTGTATCTGTTGTCACAGGGGGGCCTCCAAAGCTCATGTGATTATATTCTAACAATGAAGCCTTGTCGAATTCATAACCAGGTTCTGAAGTTTAAATTTCAAATAAGCTGATTAGATATCCAACTACATCAAAAGAGCAAGTAATTTACAATCACCCAAAATTTGTTTCAAGCCATTAAACTCATTTGTGCTACAAATTCCTAATATAAAGCTGGCCAAGAACATAAGAGTAAGCATTACCTCTTCTAAAATTTACTCTCTTCTCAAAAAGCCGAATGGGATCTGAACCTTCTAAACATGCTCCGTAAACTATTAATCTGCCAATAAACCAAAAACCATTCACTCTCAAAATATGAGTTTTGATAAACCAAAAAAAAAGGCTATTACTACTAAGTGATGGAGGAGAAAAGGAAAAGCAAACAAGAAATCCCACAGATTGTTTAGTTAAATTATATACAAAAAGAAACCATGAAAGAGAAAAGAATGGTTTCAATCTCTCCTCAAGCTTATGATAGTCTAAATCTTATCCTCCATTTGCTTGCAAAAATAACTTAATGAACTTTGGTTTTTATGTTATACAACAGAATCTTCAATTCTCAAACTTCATGCTAAATTCTCATAATTAAACTTTGAAAAAAGAAAAATTAACCTAAGAAGTTTCTCTACAGTTTTCAGTTCCTTTACAGAGAGTAAATCTTATCCTCCACTCCAAAATGAACTTGGGTTATGTCACTCAAACTCACTTTGGCTTCGGAGTCACAGAACATAATCTTCGATTTTCAAACTTCATATTACAATGACATAACCAACACTCGAATGTAATAAGAAAATTCTAAACTAAAGAAGTTCCCATAGGCTTTTCAGCTCCTTTCACAGTGACTAAACACAAAAGAACATAACATAATTCATAAAGCAATGAAAAAAAGACATACAGAGCGAGCTCACGGGCGGCTCTGGGGCTGCAAAACCGGCCACTTTTATCAATCTTTGGCATTATGTTATGCTTAGAAGAAGTTGTGGTGACGGAGTCTCTTGACTTTTCCAAAGTTTCTTGTACTGCAAATGCTGAGCAAGTAACAAGAGAGCTTGAAACATGGCGGTTTTGGGCACCAAAGTTCACAAATTGGGAGTACTTTCTGAGAGAAGATGAAGTTTTGAGATGGAATATGAAATGGGTTTTTGATGAAGAGCTTAGAAGTGAAGTTGCCTCCATTGAAATGGCTCTTTGCTCTGCCAAGTTGGTTCTTTGAAGCTCTGAAACTTGTGGATAATGATATGTGTTATATGTCCAACCTTGTTGAGAAAAATGTAAAATATCTTCCTTTTGATATACGACATCGTTTGAATACTCTTACAAATAATTGTCCATTCACCAACCCTATTAAAATACAAACAACAAAAAGTCAAAAACCCTTCAAGATTTAAAAGAGAGAGTAACTAATAATAATACCTTTGAGTTTGGTGTTGCTTAAGTAGTTGAGAAAATATGTTAATGAGATAAATTGATTTGTGAGAGTGAGAGTGATATGAATAATATAATTGTATTTTATAATTGCTTTTCTTCATATTATTTAAAAAAAAAAAAAGAAATGAAGATCTCTAGAAAATGTTTATCTTAGAATTTGTCTATATAAAATATTAATAATATCTTTAAATCAAGTAATGTTAGGTTTGTAATCCAATCTCACTTCTTCTCTTATAACTCTGATGTAATAGTTTATTATTGATCAACTCGTAAAATTGGTTTGATTTGCTTGTATGAGCTTTGTCTAATCATTTGCAAGCTAACCGATGACGAATTATCACATCAAAACTTATAAGAGAAGATTGTGATTTTGGATTATAAACTTAGTATTAATGCCTTTAAATTAGATCGTGGGTGTGGTATTATTGAAATTAGCGATGTCCACAAACATTTTTCCTCTCCGGTGAAATAATAATAATCAAATTTTGATAATTTCAATAGACTTCCACAAGATTTGCTTTAATTATAGAGAATCCAAATCACTCATCTAAAACTAACGTATAGATTATCAAAAATTAAATTAATATTAATATTTACATGCATTATTCATAAGAAAATGTTATCAACATAATCTCGCACTTTAACATCTTAAAGTCAAAATATTTTTACATTTCAAGAAAATAAATTCAATATTTTCACTCAAAAACAGATTAAAAAAATTCTTAAGTTTTCAACTCTTTATACGTTTTTCATTTATTGGGCAGTAACTAAAATCCAACACTTTTTGAGTGATCGAGTCTCTCCATCTCTCTGTCTCTTTGTGCGTATTGGGCAGTAAGAAAAATTTGATTTGAAGAAGATGAGTGTAGTTGATAGTTTATTCATCAGTGGAGTAATTTTGGGTTTATTATGTTCAATTTTGGGCGGATCAACTGCTTCCTCTTCTTTTCTCAAACACCCTTATTATGGAATTTCTCCTCAGGGTCGGTACTTTTTTTTATGTTTTTATTTTCTTTGATTTTGAGATGTGGGGTTTTGATTTTTTTGGCTTTTTTTGTGATACTCAGATGAGAAATATTACAAGACTTCCTCTGATACTATCAAATGCAAAGATGGATCCAACAAATTCACTAAAACTCAGCTCAATGATGACTTTTGTGACTGTCTTGATGGCACTGATGAGCCAGGTTGTTGCTTCTGTTTTCCTCTCATTTATTGCTTATCAGCTGATTGTTAATCAGATTTGCATATTTGTTTGCAATGGCATTGGATTATCTGTTGTTTTATCTTATAAAAAATTGTTCTTTCTTATTAGATGTAAAGGAGGGTTTGCAAAGTTCCCACCTTTTTACAATTACTAACACTATTGCATATAACTTAAATGTTTTACTTAATAAGAGAAAAAAAAAAAAAAAGAAATCACTGGAGATGGTGATAGGTTTGTGGCTAGGTTTTCATTTGTTTTCTTAAACCAGTTACTATTTTAGATTGTTTACCAGTCAATTCTATTTGTATAGAGTTTATCCATTGTTGTGTTAATGGTCGTTTCTATGTATTTTAAATAATCTCTTTGTTTATGTTAACATTATATTTTGTGAGTTACAGGAACATCAGCGTGTCCAAATGGAAAATTCTATTGTCAGAACACAGGACATGCTCCTCGTAAAATATTTTCTTCCAGAGTTAATGATGGTATTTGTGGTAAGTTTGTTGTGGCTTGAAATACCCACATGTGGATCTCCTCTGAATATTCTGAAAAATTGATGTTGAAATTGGTCATTCATTAGGGGTTTGAGAAATAGTTCTTAGGAGTTTGTTTAACATTGTGCAGATTGCTGTGATGGGAGTGATGAGTATGATGGTAAGGTGAAGTGCCCAAACACTTGCTGGGAGGCTGGCAAAGTGGCTAGAGATAAGTTGAAGAAAAAGATAGCTACATATCAGGAAGGGGTTACTTTACGAAACCAGGAAATAGAAAAAGCAAAGTTGAGCCTGGTCAAAGATGAGGAAGAGTTATCAAAGTTGAAAACTGAAGAAAAAACACTGAAAGGGCTCGTTCAACAGCTCAAAGGTATGGCTTTGTGTGTTGTACTTGGTCTTGGTAAATCTCTCCATTCTTCAACTATATTCAATCATGATTATTCCAAGGTTGTAGCCCTACTAATAAGAGTTGTATGCTTATTTGATTTCAATACAACACTCTTATTGCAACTCAATATATGTACATATAAATCTGTAGTTGAAGTTAAGGAAGAATGTCAATATTTGATCTTGTACAAAAATCACTCTAGGAGAAATCAGGGGTCAAAGTTAAAATGGGTTAGGTTGCATCCTTAATTTGTAATAAGCTTCTTACTTGCAGATGAACTGGTTAGACATATATTATCTGGACTACATGAGTGGACTACAAACATCTAGTGGGAAGAAGATGATATGTGTATAATCGTTATCTGTGATTCAAAAAATCTTTTAGGCCTTTAAGTTTGATACTACAAAGTCAAAGGTGACCTTATTATTAGGTTAGGAGGATACTTTAAACTTATAAGTTTTCCTAATTGTCCTCTAATAGGTGCCTCTCAATTTATTCGACTTAACAAAGCTCTAATTGGGGTGGGTATCATGAATGCTTTTATTATGTACTTCATTGATCTTTTACTATTATATTTTTCTCACCTTTCCCCTTTTTGTAACTCTTTTTCTCCTTTTTATCTTGTATTTAATCACTCTTACCTCATTGCTGCGTTACTTTTGGCATTTGATGCACATAACCAAATCAAGTGTGAAAATTTTCCCTAATCTTATCTTGACCTGTTACCACCTTGTCCTGCATGCTGTTCATAAATTTTCAATCAAGGTGTTTATATAACCGTCCTTCATATATGCTGAAATGTTTTTCTTTTTCTGCACATGATGTTCCTTTATTGCCTATAATTACACATTACATAGAAAGTATTGCTGCTCCTGTTAGCATCATTTTGGAAATCTTTAAGAGCTATTTTATGTTTGTATGATACTTGTGAACCACTTCTAGGTTGCACCCTTTTACTGTAATTCTATAAGCAATGTCTGTTTCTAATGTGGAAAAATATGTATGTAAATGCTTGAGCCGACCATTTTATAAATGAAGTGGGGCAACCCCAGTTTATTATTTTTGCCCTTCTTTTTCCTATCCTGCTTAAAGTTTTTAATTTTGAAAAGTTGGGAACTACCATTGATTTTACAAACATATCAATTTAATAACTCTTTGCTCTTCATTTTATATTATTGACTCCGCGTGCCCCTTTCCCTTGTGGACTGAGAGGAGCTTCTTCCTGCAAAATTTGGTCAGTATGCATGTGGTCTAAATTACCTTTTGTTGCATACAGCTTGTGGTGGTGTTTGATCATTTCTCTTCTGGTAGATTATATTCTTATACTTTTTAAGTCGTTGTTAATGAAATAGTTTCTTTTTCATTGGGAGAATAGAGTTCACTGTTGTATAAGTCTTTTGCTTCAACTCCCATGCAGAGCGTAAAGAACAAATAGAAAAGGCTGAGGAGAAAGAGCGTCTACAAAGAGAAAAGGAAGAGAGGGAGAAGAAAGAAGCCGAGGAAAAGGCTCATAGGGAGAAAAGTGAATCTGTTGAGGAAGATAAGCAGGAAAATAATGACGTCCAGGAGCATGCTAGCTTTGAAAAGAAGCCTGATGATAGTACACCTGATGATAAAGTTAGTGTATTAGAGCATTCTCCTGAAGATCAGGTTAGATTTCACTTTACTTTTTGATGCTTAACTTTCATCAATCTATAAATATAACTGTGATTGCATGTAATTTTGTCGCTGTCTCATTTGAATTGTGAGTTTTGTAATAGCTTACCAATGCTCTGGTGATTGCAACTTACCTATTTTCTGTGTGTAACGGCTGAGAAGACGTAACTTATTCACCCTCATTGTTTCATCGGAATGGATATGGTCATATGTTTATGATGGCGTTGTTAATGCTTCTACATAATGTGTTAATGTCTATTTATTGATTCCTATTTATGGGCACACTTTGGACCACATGTATATGTATAAGCTAATATAAGGATGTTTATCTGCTGGTAACCAATCTAATATCTTGGTTACTGTGCCCTGGCATTGCAAATAAATTCTTTTCTTTAAGTTCTTACATGCCTAGCTTTTTTGTAGGACATGGCCAAGGGCAATGCTGAAGATGATAAAGCAGCTGAAGCTGAACATGTTGTCACTTCTGATAATGTGGAAGAACCATGGAATGAAGTGGAGCTGGTAAATTGCTAACATTTAATTTTATATATTTTTCTACAAATAGAGTTCCACTTCAGTCATGCCATCTTAGCAAACTGTCAAATGTTTTTCCATCTCAATATAGAGTGCAGCAGAAAAGATTGAACAATCTGTCTCACCAAAAAGTGAAGACAATTCTGCAGTTGTACCTGATACTGGTCATGATGCTGGAAGTGAGCTGTCTCATGAGGAAGCCAAGAAAGTGGTAATTTTTCTCCATAAAACTGTGACGTCTTCTGGGAGAGAAATAATCACCATATTAAATTTTAAAATCGCATTTAAAATTTGCAGTTCAGGATAGTTATGCTTTCATATAGAGACAAAACCATAAGTAAAAGTATCTAATGACATGCATAGATGATATATTTGTAGCTCTCACTCTTATTATATTCTATGGTCATTAATAAGCCAAGAAACTACTGCAGTCAGCTCTCAAAAGTCATATGGCTACCTATATGCATTAGATATATTTTTTTTGGATAGAAACTAAATAGTTTCTCAACCCCTTTTATTGAGTACTTGAAATATCTTTCGTTAAGCATTAAATAAAGGTCTATGCCTGTGAAGTTGGTTCTTTTGTAAGCTCTAATTGGAATACTTGAAATTTGTAGTTGTTCTGTACTAAATAGTATATTGCTGATGTTGGTTCAGTTCTTTATAAATGTCTGTTTGAATAATATGTGTTCTATGATATGAAGAGAAGAAGACTGAGAGCGAAGAGTGAAAGAGTAACTTTGTGGCGTTCTTTACAATCATTTTGATATCTCTTAATGCTTAGAATCTTAATATAAAGAATTTATTATGTCACTTTTAACTTATTTTCTAATCAACAATACAGTGATCCCAAATTTTCATAAATGTTTAAAAAAATTTTAATGAAAGGTTTATAAAATATTTTCTTTCTTTTCCTAAGAGAAGGTGGTATGACATGTAATGCAAAAAAATATGTTGGTAGCATATTATAGATCTGAATCTTTTATTTCTTATTACGTGTAACTTTTGGTGTCTGCTAGAAATATATATTCAGAATTCGCAACATTTCTAGGATTTTTTTTTTTTTTTTTTTTTTTTTTTAAACAGTTGGAACTTGTGGCATGCCTATATCCTGGCAAAACTTTGTCATTTCTGGTTGTCTTAGGTGATTGCAAAGCATATAATTTGTGCAGGGGAATGATGCATCGGAAAGTACTGAGGAGTTGTCAAGAGAAGAGTTGGGTCGCCTTGTTGCTTCTCGTTGGACAGGAGAAAACAATAAGAAGGAATCTCAGGAAGATGGTGTAAAAGATAAAGCTCATGAAGTCCATGAAGAAGTGCCAGACAGTACACATGATGGGGAAGATGATGGCTATGCTACTGATACTGATGATGACACTGAAAGATACGATGAAGCTGGAAAATATGATGACCATATAGATAATGATTTGGATGAAAGTTACGAAGATGAGGATCATGATGATACTAGTAGTTCATACAAATCTGACACAGATGATGATTTGGACTTATCAGGTTTGAAGTTTCTGTCTCCATTAATTTTATTTTTGTCAATCGTTTTAGTACTTCTGCTGTTTTTAAGTTGGGCTGATAGTCCATGGTTTCTGATTTATCTAACCATGTTATTAGAGACGACAAGCCCATCTTGGTTGGAAAAGATACAACAAACTGTACGGAATCTTCTTCAGGCTGTTAATTTGTTTCAAGCTCCAGTAGACAAATCTGGTACTAATCTAACCTTTATGTTATTTTATAATTAAAAGTGAAAATTTGTGCTTGGAAATGTTATCATCTGTGGTGTTTTGCTTCTTTAGATGCTGATCGTGTCCGCAAGGATTATGAAGAATCCAGTGCCAAGTTGTCTAAATTACAATCGAGGATATCAAGTTTGACAAAAAAGCTAAAACATGATTTTGGTTAGTATAAGAAGAATTTGTATTATATTTATGCTTTGGCTGTTATTTTTGTTAATCTGGCTTCCCTAAACTGAACTTGAACTATAATACTGCAGGGCCTGAGAAGGAGTTCTATTCATTCTATGGTCGTTGTTTTGAGAGCAAGCAGAACAAGTTACTATCTTTATCTTCTCATGCTTGTCTTGTCAGGCAGTTTTTACTTTAGATCTTCCAGGGAACTGCCATAAATTTCAGTTATCTTACCTTTGGTGAATGTTCTTCAGGTATCTTTACAAAGTCTGCCCATACAAACAAGCTACCCAGGAAGAAGGTCACTCTTCAACTCGCTTGGGGTGTGTGTCTATTACCACATTTTCCCTTGCATATCTGATTCCCTGATTTTTTTTATACATCAAGGAGAATCGAGCTGTCATTTAGGAACTGATAGCAAGTCATGCTGGCGCTACCTGTTTGCTCCTTCTGTCTATATAATTTTTCTTCTTCCACTCAAGAGATCCATGCCATAAAGAAACCTTGTGATTTTGGTTGTTTAAATTTTTGTTTTACCATATTGCTGTTCTTGCATTCATCTAAATGCAACATCACATAGCTAAGCTTAAAGATAAGATAATGATATGGACAAAATTATGCCCTCAGCCAAATAGATAATCTAGTGCAGACTTCAACATCATTGATCCTATTTTGGTTGCATCATTTATGCCTTTTTTTATAGTCAACTGTTAATATTGTTATTGTGAACCTTGTGATGCTCAAATCCTTTCTCTCTCACTTTGGTGGTTTGGCTTATGTGGTATTTTCTTCTCCTGTCCAACATTTTTGCTTAATAGGAGCTGGGACAAATTTGAGGACTCTTACCGCGTCATGTTATTTGCGAATGGTGATAAGTGTTGGAATGGGCCTGATAGAAGTTTGAAGGTAACTAGTATCATGTTATTGTTTTTTATCGTGTTTTGGATTGCTGTAATGGAGGAACTCCTTTTCTTCTATGTTTTTTACTTTTTGGTGAAATGGTTGGATAATTAATGGAAAAAAAAAAATTATTCTTGTCCAATGGATAGTATATATGTAAGTCATATTCTGGATTTGACATTTCATGTGTGTAAATTACAAATGTTAGTGTATAAAAGGGAAGAGGTCCAGTGTTTGGTCTTCATTTAGGCCCTAAAAAGAAAAAAAAAAGTTAAGACAGTTGAAATGGAGTTTGATGAAGAAATAGATTTTATATCATCAATTCTATGTATAACGTTTTACAGGTTAAGCTGAGATGTGGACTGTCAAATGAGGTTACTGATGTTGATGAACCAAGCCGCTGCGAGTAAGAATTTTGCCTCTCTCTCTCTCTCTGCTGGTTGTTTTGCTCTCTAACTTTTAGTTCTTGCAGATATGTTGCATTGTTGTCTACTCCGGCTCTTTGCCTGGAAGAAAAGCTTCAGGTAATCTATTAATTATTTCTCCAAAGTTGCAGTGTTAAGCTCTTCTTCTAGCATTGATTTTTATATTAAGTTTGGGTATATGGTGAAATACAATAGGAACTACAACATAAACTAGGCTTGATGAACAAAGAACAACCTCAGCAGCACGATGAACTATAAATTATCCCGATGAATTTACCCAACATGCTTTAGAGGATGCCGAACAATTATATGTTCAATATTCAAAGATGAAGAGATGATGTACTGCAGCCTCTATGGGCACAAGTAGTTTACAGAAATTTCGAGCAATATTCGAAGCGGGCTCCTGAAACTTTTACAACCTTGAGTGCACTTCATATTGGAATTGTAGTTCTTTGTAATGGGTGGATTTGAGGCACATTTATCACAAATTCGGCTTAGTTAAAACTGATTTTGATATCATTCTTCATGTTACACTTTTGAATTGAGCTTAGACCTTAAAATAGTAATTTCATATTATTACCAATTTTAGAACATTGATTGCAAACAGAACTTTTATATTACCTAGTAATCTTTTTTTCTTTTTCTTTTTTATTTTATTTCCTCAGTCCCACCAAAAGAAGAGGTGGAGGGAAGGAACAAAAAACAGTTTCTTTGAGTTTGAATAGAATATTGACTCCTATTCTCGGTCATCTTGTGTAATCAAAATATGCAGTCTTCTGAGGCAAACGCTATACTTAATTCCAAGTCAATCCCATCTACCATATACCAGCTGTGATTATTAATTTCTTTCTCTCTTAAAATTTAGCGATAGAACGCTGTGGTGACGACTCTTTTGAATAAAATATAAAAGGTTTCTTTTTTATCACGGGCTGAGTCAGTTTATATATGTATTTCAACCATAAAATCTCTTACTATGATGTTTTTATAGTCTTGTAAGAAGGTTTTTTATAATTATATTTTCTAAAGGAAGTGGAAAAAATGAAATAAACCCAAATATGAATGTGTATGCAAATTTAAGAGAAAGATGAAGGAGAGGTGTGATTGTGAAATATAAGTAAATATGATGTTTCCTCTCATTTCAAAGATTTTGTCCAAAAGTAAAGACTTTTAACGATTCCAAGAAGTTCATGACCTGAATCACAGCAGGGAAGATTTCAGACTCTGGGCTGCTGTCAAATACTTTTGTACAGCCAATTGTAAGTAAGTAAAGATCATTTCCCACAACAAATAGAAATCTAGGTGCTTGCATTTTCCTTGTGCTTTGAGCTACTGCTCTGGTTAAAGAAATCCATGGGATTTGTTTGTTTGCTCATTTGACTTTTTCTCCAAAACCATGTGGAAGGGCAAGAAAGAGGTGGTGGTTCAGCCTTTTCAAGCCGTCCTATAAAATTTATACATCTACTTAATACTATCTCATCTACCACCAAATCACACCCTTTTATAATCTCCAAAATGTGAATTTCTTTTCTGATATAAATGTAAGGTCTCATTCTCACCAGGGACCTCTAAGTTCAATGTCAACTGATATTTAGGAGAAGTATACATTTTGAAAATGATATAAATATGTCAAATTGAATATAACTACGACAAATTATATATAATTTCAAACTTGTTATATTAAAGAAGAAGAGGAAATATTATCCTCTATGGCTCCATCACATCATTTAAGAGGTAAACCCTAAAAAATCAACGTGAGATTTTTTATATTATATAATACATCTTTGGTTAGAACGCTTTGATCGTAGTTATATTAGAATTATGTTTAAATATCGTTAGATTTTTTTCGTTGGATTGAAATAATATTTTATTAATAAGATCAACAATATATAAAAATGATCCTACCAAAACTAATATCACAACGTTCTTCTAATGAAATGATCTTAATAGAACTAATGGCAGTAGAGAATACCGGATTTGATAATAAAAGTATAATTAGTAATAGGGATTATACTTTTGTACAAGAGATAACCAATTTCCTTCTAGAATTATGAGGGAGAATATTATATATGGAATCAAAAGAAGACACCGGGCTCCGTAAATCAAGAAAGCAACCACATTTTTATATATTACTATAAGCCTTGTTGTCCAAGCAACAAACCTTTTTCATTTCATTAGCCACCCAAGCTTGCTTTTACTTTCTCTCTCTTTCTTCTTATTCATCTCAAACCTCTTCTTTCTTCTCTAACCAATGGACAACGGCAGAGTTAACCCGCTTGACAAGAAGCCCAAGACGAAGATCGTTTGCACTTTGGGACCGGCTTCAAGATCGGTTCCCATGGTTGAGAAGCTCTTGAGAGCTGGCATGAACGTTGCTCGTTTCAATTTCTCTCATGGATCTCATGAGTACCATCAAGAAACCCTTGATAATCTCAGAACCGCCATGGTTAACACTGGTACTATGTGTGCTGTCATGCTTGACACCAAGGTATATATATATTATTTTTTCAAGTGCTTTTCTTCTGGTTTTTTTTTTTTTCTTTTTTTAATGATTTTTGCATCTGGGTTTGTCATGTTTTTGATTGATTTGGTCTCTACTGATGTTATCCGAATGTTTGAGGCTGTTCTATCTGGACCATTTTGTTCGTGTATTTTTCATTTTCTGATGAGGTTTTTGCGTTTTTTTTTTTCGTTAATAGTGGATGTTTTGTTCTGTTTCCTAAGTTTTTACTTGTTGTTTTTGGAAACAAAGCCCTCTATGATAAGGTGTTAACATTTTTATTGTTTGCTATTTGTTGATGGTTTTTTATTTATTTTCTCTTTTTATTTGATTGGTTTGTTTAAGTAAATACCTTGATGACTACTTAATGCTAATGTATTCATAAAATTTAATGGAAAAAATTTTTTTTGTGTTTCTTTGACCATATGTTGCTTAAACAATGCAGCTGGTACAAAAATATGTTGCTTTGATAATATCTGTTCCTCCTGTGGAATTATTCATAATGGAAACTTAAAAATCTTTCTTTGACTCGTTTTGACAGCCAATTTCATGAATAGATATTCTAAGCTTAAATTCTTTAGGGAAATCAAAACAAGAAACGTCTTGTTCTTTTTCAAAAATTTGTGAGTAATATCCTTAGTCTAGCTGAAAGTCTTCCTTGGACTATAATCTTAGCCATAAAATTCTATGACAGTCGTCCAAAATTCATTTCTCATGAACAAAGTGATTTAAACACACAGCAACTAGAGTTTTTTGCTAACTGTTCATACCATTTTCTGCTCTGCTCCATTGTTTCTTTGTTGTTTCTAAGATGAAGCATTGTAACATGTGACTTATAATTTTAGACTTGAATATCAACTTTTTAGTAGATATCTGATTGCTGCGTTTACACATTATTAATAGCCGAAAGCTTTACCGAAACTGTGGCCATTCCAATATTGATTTATTGACTGAAGCCTTTTCTTATTTTTTTGTTTCAAGCTTCTCACGTGTTTTGGATTCCATGTGGTATCAATATTCTTTGGCAGTTTTACAGTAGTAGCATGTTCTAATTTCATCTCGAAATCCCTCAGCACACCAATATGGCTGTTTGGTGCTCTTTTGTCCCCTCCTCTTGGGCATTATGTTTATGTTTAGTTTTCAGTTTTTCTTTGTGGGTTGGGAGGGGGTTGGTTGGTTTTTTTTCTTTTCGTTTTGTTTTTTTTTGTTTTTTGTTTGTTTTTGATACTCCCTTTCCTTTTCTCCCTGAAGAGCAAATGATGATTGGCTTACCTGCAAAATAGCTGAGTATCAATATTTTGTTGTGGTTAGATAGTAGATTTTAGGATTTTACTGATTCTTCATTTCACACACAATCTTACAGGGTCCGGAGATTCGGACTGGATTCTTGAAAGATGGCAAACCTATCCAATTGAAACAAGGTCAAGAGATTACTATATCCACTGACTACAGCATTAAGGGTGATGATAAAATGATTTGCATGAGCTACAAAAAGTTGGCTCAGGATGTCAAACCAGGGATGGTTATACTTTGTGCCGATGGCACAATCTCATTTACTGTTTTATCTTGCGACGTGAAAGCAGGGTTGGTTCAATGTCATTGTGAGAACTCTGCTATGCTTGGCGAGAGGAAGAATGTTAATCTCCCAGGGGTTATAGTGGATCTACCAACCTTGACAGAGAAAGACAAGGAAGATATCTTGAAGTGGGGAGTCCCCAATCAAATTGACATGATTGCTCTGTCTTTTGTTCGTAAAGGGTCAGATCTTGTGGAGGTCCGGAAGCTACTTGGAGAGCATGCTAAGAATATCATGCTCATGTCAAAGGTATGTTAATGTTATTAGATGTAATATAAGAAGTAGGATAATTAAATGTAATATAAGAAGGGTCAGATCTTGTGGAGGTCCCCAATCAAATTGACGTGAGTGCTTTGTCCTTTGTTTGTAAAGGGTCAGATCTTGTCTTAAATGATTTTGTTTGTTTTGAGAGATCAAAACTTAATGCTAGGCACAGTTAATGAGTCATGGCAACAAACTCATTAATGGGGTGATCTGAAAGGAAAGATTTATGATGACTGATTGACATTTTAAGACAATCATTTTTGGATACTCACATTTATGTTAAAAAGAAGAAATTGATATCGGATGCATTTATTAGAAAGAGTTTTCATATGCACTGACAACATCGAAGCTATATGCAAACATGTAATATATCTAGCATCTGTATGTACAGTCATTATCTTTATTATTAATCAAAACCATAGCTCATGTATGATTTCTGATTCTCCCTTTGAATTTATTTGATAGGTTGAAAATCAGGAAGGGGTGGCAAATTTTGATGATATCCTTGCAAATTCAGATGCATTTATGGTTGCTCGAGGTGACCTCGGAATGGAGATTCCTATTGAAAAGATATTTCTAGCACAGAAAGTAATGATTTACAAGTGCAACATCCAAGGGAAACCTGTTGTCACAGCAACCCAAATGTTGGAGTCCATGATCAAGTCTCCCCGGCCAACTAGAGCTGAGGCCACTGATGTTGCCAATGCAGTTCTTGATGGCTCGGACTGTGTGATGCTTAGTGGTGAGACAGCTGCTGGAGCTTATCCAGATCTTGCAGTGCGTACCATGGCTGAAATATGCATTGAAGCAGAAAGCACCCTTGATTATGGAGATGTTTTCAAAAGGGTTATGGAACACTCACCAGTGCCCATGAGCCCATTGGAGAGTTTGGCTTCTTCTGCTGTTAGAACAGCCAATTCTGCAAGAGCAACTCTTATATTGGTCCTAACCAGGGGAGGGAGTACAGCAAAGCTGGTGGCTAAGTATAGGCCTGGCATGCCTATTTTGTCTGTGGTGGTCCCCGAGATTAAGACTGATTCCTTTGATTGGTCATGTAGCAATGAAGCTCCAGCAAGGCACAGCTTAATCTTCCGCGGCTTAGTTCCAGTTTTATATGCAGGATCTGCAAGGGCCTCTCATGCAGAAACAACAGAGGAAGCACTTGAATTTGCTATTGATCATGCTAAGGCAAAGGGATTCTGCAAGAAAGGAGATTCAGTCGTGGCGCTTCACCGTATTGGAACTGCATCTATAATCAAGATTTTGACTGTGAACTGATGATTCTCATAGGTTTTGTTTTTCATTTTTTGTCTGTTCATCTGTTTTTACGCCCTTTTTTCTTTTTGGTGGGAGATAATCTCATTATATGGGTAAATGCTGTGTCATGATACAGCAGCAACTTGTTTCAATTTGTACTTTTTGTCTGAGAGAAACTCAGTTATGATAAAAATGTTTCAAGAAACATGATTTTTGAAAGTGCAGTTTTGACCAAAGAGAGTTATTTTTCTTTAGTCTTTTTGCCTGGTATGATATGGTGGATGCTTAAATGATTCTGTTTATTGGGTGCTGTTTGCATTTCATATTTTAATGGTCATATTCAAGCTTCCTGAAGAACTGAACCCATAAGGCTATCAAGAAAATGACTACTATCGGCTGCAATGCATAGTGAGGTTTTCATTGATTTTGTTACGGTATTTCACTATAACACTGTAATATTAATAATACATCAACTTGAAAATTGTGAACTTAAAAAATAAAACTTATTATAGTTTGAAACTGGTTTTGTGTATCTTATGTGCAAACCCATCAATCAAAGACATGTCACATCAATTGGCAAGAAATTTGTATGAGAACTAGGTATCAAAGTTCAAACACTTGCTCTTCACCATAGCTAAATTTGACCGTCACAAATTAGGGTTTCAAGTGTTAATTTTGCAACTGAAGAGATTAATCGTTAATCTGAACATGAAGTGAAAGCATATGTTCCACAGTTCCAGTTCCACTATCAAAGGTCAAATCAAATAGATGAACCCACTTGACTAAAATTCAAAGGAAGAGACTTCCCATGGTTTTGGCATAAATAACTGAGTAGTGGTATCAGCAAAGATACTCTTTCTGGGCCATTCAATCAAATTCAAATCCCCCTTTATTTAATTGCTCAATTAGGTATGTAATGCTGGAAAGATATTATATATTAGACGATTTCGATATCCCACCGCAACTACAAGAAAATGAAACAATCCATTCTTTATTTCGTTAACTTCAACAGGTTCCATTATTTATATGCCCAGGTTCAACATCTTGCTGTTCGCAAATTTTCATTGGAAGGGTCAGATGCCACATCCAAAATTGGCCATTTCCCAACTCTTTATATTAAAATAAGTTTAGTCCATGTGAAATGCCTCCGCACACAATTATTTACATCATTTCAAATAAGAACAAAATGCATCCACCATTAGGCCACACAATATTGTTGAATCTTTCAAAGCAATTAGAAAAAAAAAATATACAAGCAAAAGAGAATTAACTTACATATTTGCAAGGAAATGGAAATAAAATAGTAGCAGCATGATTTCTTCTCTAAGGCAACAAAAATCTACAAAAGCATAGGCAGATGACAACACTATATGTTCTTCCAAATTTCGAATTCGGCAAGTAAAATACCATATGTACACATAGACAAAGGCATAACATTCAAGCAACATACACAACAAAAAGCTTATACAACAACATATATAATATACTCAATTCTCATTTGATTGCGAAGCATTTCCAGATTGAGAACCTGAGCTTGAGGTTGAATTGTTACCCCCGGAGTGAGAACTCGAGGAAGAGAACAAACCATTAAAAGGCCATCGGATTGAAAACCTTCTGCCACTCTCATTTCTCCCTTCCCCATCTACCTCTTCACTGGTACCATGATCACTACTACTGTTATGCTCGGTTTCCCTTGGGTTACTGCTGTTCCTAGACCTTTCAGACTCAAGCTTGGATTCATCAGCAGGCATTTGATACCTACAAACTGGACAAGAACTATGAAGCTCCAACCATGGCAATATACACCCACTATGAAACTTATGCTTACAAGGCATTTCCTTGGCTTCACTACCAATCTCAAAATCATCCAAACATACTGAACACTGCAATGTCTCCATAACCTTCACACTAGGCATTGCTTCAACAGCCCCCTTTTGTGCCGGTGGTGTCCCATATCTATTCGGATCATTTTCAGCCAAATGCTGCAACAACAAATCCAAGCCAGGACCAATGAAGTAATCACCTAGTGATCCAATGGTAGCATGATTATGATTCTGGTTGTGACCATCATAAGAACCCTGAACAATGATAGTCTGATTAAAAGGATTGATCAAAATCAAGCGCTCTCGTTCCCTTTCCCTATCCCTATCCCTATCCCTATCCCTATCTCTATCCCTAACTCTATCCCTATCATATTCATTACTCTCAGAATCCAATCCGGCTCGAATTCCTGGAAACAACTGCAAAAAAGTAGTTGGAGTTCTTCTCATTCTTCTCCTAGTCATAATGGAATCAGGCTCGCCATCCAACTCATCATGGTCATTATCATTATTACCACCATCATTATCATCATCTTCAAATTCCGGTCTCCTGAATCTCCGATGGTGTGGACGTGAATGACCCATCATACCCAGCAAGATAGGTGCCCAAAGCGAGAGGGCACGGTCAGATCCAAAATCAGAATCCGGGATGTTGTGGTCTTGATTGTTGTTACTAGTAGGAGTGCCCATTTCTTCAACAAACCCACTTTGACAAAATGGGCATTTGATCTCTACTTCAATGATGGGATTCACCATTTGTGAACACATATGACACCAATACCTCGATTCTCCAATTCCCTCATCCATTTTCTCTTTCTCCTCTACTTCTGTCACAGATTTAAACACAACACAATCAACATCATCACAAAAAAATAAAAAAATAAAAAAAATTCAACTTTAGCAGAATATAACAGATCTAGCCTTATAAAAAGAAAAAAGAAAAAAAACCCATTAAAAGATTCCAAACCAGAAACAAAACCCAGATAAAAAAAATAATAAGAAAAAAGACACAAAATCTAGAAATCTTACCAGAAACCTAGAAAGAAAAGCAGTAGCTTTGAGCTTGAGAAATGATCTTCTTCTTCGACTATCCAAAGAGCAAAACCACAAATCCGATAAAAAACGCCTTTGATTATATATCTGGTCACTCTAGAGGAGAGTTTTTTTTAAAAAAATAATTTGGAGGAGAAAAGAAGAGTAGGTGAGTGATTTAAATCAAGTCAAAATTAGATATTAAGACAACAGAAGGATCTGGAAAAACCCCTAAAAATAAAAATTGACACGCATTCTCATATAAAAATAAAGTATCAAATGAAGTCGAGAGCCAGCCCGCTTCTCTAGAATTTCATGAATCACAGCAATCAAATATTCTCGAGAAAAGAAAAGAAAACAAAACCCAAACGCGTTTACGCTTTAATTTTTATTTTTTTTTTAATTTACTTTTGTGGAATAAAAATTAGGCGGTGGGAGATGAGGTGGCAGTGTACCATTGGTTTTCTGTCACGTCAAGAAATAAATTATTCTATGGCCGAAATAATAATAATAAATAATAACAATAATGGTGGTACTGGACCAAATGGTGTAGTAAGATGACACGTAAGCAAGATACTGACGGCCAGATATAAAGAAAGAAAGAAATTTAAATTGTGCCTTGCCTTTCACATTTAAATATATTTCACTTGGGTTCACCCTATTTACTTAAAAAAAATGCTACGGTCACCGGGATTTTTACACCGAAATGTTATACTGGCCTATATGTCTCTCGATCCATACCAGTAAACCAGATACATTTTACATTATTTTTATTTTTTTCTAGTGAATAGCCATTCATCAAATATGAACGATCGTGTACTTATATAGACTCCCGTCCATATTATATGGACGGGGTCTATTTACTATGAACAAGCGTCTCTATTTAAAGCACACCCATCCATGAATAAATTTTTTTATAAAAATTAGGGACGACCATTTATAGGTTATGGACGGCTGTTCCTAAATATTGGACGGACGTTCATATTTTAATGGACGCCCGTCCATTAACAATTCTTTTTAAAACATTAAAAAAATATAGGGACGGTCGTTCATCAATTATGGACGGCCGTCCCTTCATTTTGGACGAGCGCCCGCAAATAAGGGACGCCCGTCCATTATGTTTGGATGGGTGTCCGTAAGGAATGGACGCCTGTCCCTTATTCTGGTTTAAAAAACAAAATGAAAAATTTGGACGCCTGTCCATAAATTGTGGACGGGCGTCCCTAAGGAATGGACGCCCGTCCCTTGTTGTGTGTTTTAAAAAACAAAGTAAAAAATTTGGACAGTCGTCCATTAAGTGTGGACTGGCATCCGTAAGTAATGGACGCCGGTCCATTATTGTGGTTTTAAAAAAAACAAAATAAAAACTTGGACGGCCGTCCCTTAAGTGTGGACGGGCATCCGTAAGTAATGGACGCCCATCCATTATGTATGGTGTTACGAACGGTCGTCCATAATATAATGAATTTTTTTTTAATAAAATTTGTTTTTTTTTTTATTTGCGAATAACATTAGCTTCTCCAATACGCTTCTCCAAAAACCAGCGCCAAAATTCTTCGAGCGAAAGAAAACTTCATTTTATACCTATCGCCGCCTTTTGGTTCATCGTTGCCGTCTGTTGTTCGCGTCTACATTCCTCAGCCATTTCTTCCTCAACAGCCGTATTTTCCTCATTTTTCAACTATCGTGACAAGAACGAAAGCTATAAACTTTTCATTAAACAATTTTTTATAGTGGAAAGGGAGATAAGAAGATCAAAATTTGTCTAGATTAGAAGGATTTGTTAATGTTGTTAACCGATTTTTATTTAACTTATGCATTTATTTAGTTTTGTATTATATTTTGGATTGAATATATGTTACAATAGAAAAAAACTGATAGAGAAAATTTGTTGGTGATTGTTATGAATCAGATTCGTGAACGTGAACACTAGTATTGGTTTTGCATTAAATTACAAAATATGGAAGAGTCCAGTTTGCCTCATTTCAATGATGTTGAGGTAAATTGTGCTCGAAACCTTAACTTTTTTGTTAACATGATTTTAAATTTATTGTATCATATTGTTTCTTTTGATATGTTGTATTAGGACATTCTAATTTTGTCTATTATAAAACTATTAAATGATCAGGAAAATGAACGTGATGAATTAGAAGATATGGAATGTGCAGAGGAAGAAGTAGAGCCTCATATTGGAATGGTGTTTGATTCAATTGATAGTTTGGTGAAGTATTACAAACGGTATGGTAACAAAATGGGATTTGAAGCAATGATATGTATGTCAAAGAAAGGCGAAGATGGAGAGATGAGATATGTGACAGTGGCATGTTCTTGTTATGGAAATGAGAGATGTAAGTCCAAAAATACCTTGAAAAAACAACCTGTTGCCAAAAAAGATTGTAAGAGTCGGATTAGTGCAACTTTGAATGGTGAATGCAAATGAGAAATTAAATCAGTTGTACTTGAACATAACCATGATCTTACAAGTCCGACAAAAAGAAGATATTTCAAGGTTAACCGAACGATACAACCTTATGTGAAAAGGCGACTTGAAGTTAATGATGTGGTTGGGATTAGACCATGTAAAAATTTTCAGTCATGTTCAGTTGAGGCAGGAGGTGTAGAGAATTTGACGTTTCTACAAAAAGATTGTAGGAATTACATTGAAAAAGTGAGAAAGCTACGACTTGGAGTTAGAGATGCTTCGGCAGTACTTGAGTATTTTAGGAAAATGCAAAAGGAGAATTCAATTTTCTGGTACATGATTGATGTAGATGAAGAGAGTCGATTACAGAATGTGTTATGGGTTGATGCTAGATTTAGGGCTGCATATAAAGAATTCGGTGATGTTATCACCTTCGACACAACGTATCTGACGAACAAGTATGATATGCCATTTGCTGCTTTTGTGGAGGTTGATCATCATGGATATTCGACGTTGTTAGGTTGTGGATTAATTTCTCATGAGTACACTGAGACATTTGTATGACTATTTCGTTCTTAGCTTGAATGCATGGATGTTGCTCCTAATGGAATTATCACTGATCAAGATAAGGCCATGCAAAATGCAATTGAGATGGTTTTCCCTGGTACAAGACATAGGTGGTGTTTATGACAAATAATGAAGAAACTGTCTAAAAAGTTAAGAGGGTATAAGGAATATGAAACTATAAAGTTTAAGTTGCAAAATGTTCTGTATGATTCCTTTACACGTGAAAAGAGTTCGAAGAGCGGTGGAACCAATTTGTTGATGTGCACAACCTTCACGAGAATGCATGGCTATGTGGATTATACAAAGAAAGAGTACGATGGGTGCCTGCATTTCTTAAAAATACTTTCTGAGCAGGTATGTCTATTACCCAACGTAGTGAAAGTATGTATGCATTTTTTGATGGGTATGTAAATTCCAAAACTACTTTGAAACAATTTGTGGAACAATATGATAATGCATTGCGAGCTAAAATGGAAAAAGAAAGGGAGGCTGATTTTAGATCTTTCAAATCTTGGATACCATGCATAACTAATTAACCAATTGAGAAAAAATTTCAAAATGCATACACAACTGCAAAGTTTAAAGAGTTTCAAGAAGAGATTGCGGGGAAGATTTATTGTGAGTTATCTTTTCTGAAAAAATGTGATTCATACGAGGAGTATCAAGTTTTGGAAGATGTTTGGTTTGGAGATAGTCATCGTGTTCTATATGCGATATACTTTAAAGAAAGTTCGTGTGATATTCATTGTACTTGTCATTTGTTTGAGTTCAGGGGGATTTTATGCAGACATACCATTATGGTGTTGATTCATAAAAGGGTTTCCCACGTTTCGGAAAAGTACATTTTATGGCGTTGGAGGAAAAATGTGAACATATGTCATATGAAAATTAAGGTTAGTTATAATAGGTGGAGCATCGACATTGAAGGACAACGTTTTGATAAGTTGTCTAATTTAATGCTGACAGTAGCGGATACGACATCAAACAATGAGGAAGATTATAATATGATGACTGAGTTTATGATTGAGATGAGGAAAAAGTTGGAGCAAAAAGAAAGTGAGGGAGGGCTTGGTACAAAAGTGAGCATCTCTTCCACAACCGGTTTGACTAGTCAAGATGGGGACAGTCCTCCAAAAGAGGGGACTAGTCTAATTATTAGTCCATAGGCAACTCGTAGCAAAGGTCATCCTCCATGTAGAAGAAAGCAATCGAAGGTTGAAGAAATTGTACGTAGGGTTAAAAAGAAAAAAATTACAAAAACAAAGAATTGGTATGAGTTATACATTATTTGAGTATTTTTTTTGAAACATTATTTACTTATTTGAAGTTTAGAATAATATCGACTTGATTATTATTGTGTTTTGATACTCTTTAGGAAAAGGATCATCGGTACAACGACAAATGGAACAGTTTCTTTCATGTACTTCCGTGGCCGATGCGAAACTCAAGTGTTGTCGAACGATGTTGTTACTACCCAGGTATGTGTTATGTATCTTGTATAATTGTAATTGCCTTAAGTTTTCTATAACGTGTGCTAAATTGTGGTTGTTAAACAATGACAGATGTCCACTGGTCCCGTTCCAAATCTCGTAAGACAAAGTAATTTCTATACTGGACAGGAGTTTGTAAATGATAAACATGTCTCGTTGGGAGATGTTTGATATTGTTGCCAGGTTGAAACATATAGAATTGTATTTGGTAGAAATTTTCATGCTTTGGTTAATTTCTGCTAAATGCAGTTGAGTTGTATGCTTATTCAGTTGTTTTATTTTTAGTGTTTTCATCATTGGTTGTGTAGGGTAGTGAATTCAATATAATGACGTTAACGTAACTTATTATGAATGTTTTCAGTATATATTATCGTCACATTGCAGACTCCGGTTGTACATGAAATTTTGGATATGCATTTCATTTGAGATTTGAATTTTGATGTCTTTCGGTATGTCTAGTATTACATATACAAATGCATTCAAAAGAGTTGTTCACATATGTATAAACAAAAGACAAAAGACAAATCTATTTATAAACAAAAGACAAGTCTATTTATAAACAAAAGAAAATCTTTATTAAGAACATCCGCTGAAATCAATCTATTAATAAACAAAAGGCAAAAATAATCTTCGTCCATAAAGCTAAGTATTTGAAGTACACATAATCATAATTAACATTCAGAGTGTGTTCCCCAAGAATGTTGACAAGGAGGTTGTTGAAAAAGTCTTCATCATGGTGCAGGGGGTGGAGGTTGACTGGAGGAGGAGGAGGCTGTTGAGAAGTTCTTCATTATGTTGAAAATCTCTGTCATGTGTTCCCCAATGATGTCAACTGTTTCTTCTATTCTTGATGCAAATGTGTTGAAATCACTTTGCAATTGATC